AATGAAGTTGTAAACATTTTTGTAAACATTTCAGGAGTTAGGACTTACGGTAATTTCCCTCTTTGCCTCTTCAGCAGCAAGTGCATGTCACTCAAAAGCATTAAGACCTGTGCTTGGATCATGTGTAGATGAGCCAACTTGTGCCTTGTTTTTGCATGAAGCTTTCTTTGTTCCACATGAACACTGTTCTGTGCATTGTAATCCTTCGTCGCGGCAAGGACAACCCTTCTTTTTCCTCCCACTGCCTTTACTGCACGTGTTTTTACAACTACAGAACTATAAAAAAGCAATAATGTTATAGTATAAATATAAGTAATCAAAAAAGTGCCACTTTGAAGATTGCAATATAAATATTCATATAATTTATATGCACTGTCACTGTACTCACTTGTGCTCTCACAGAATGAACAATGTCAACATCTGATTGCTTGACAATCTCATTAATATTAATATCATCTGGAGGTCGGAAAACAGGCGAGCCGTAAGCATTTAAATTGTCTTCTGGATCATACCGCTCTTCTGCTAAGTCTGGATCTGACGATTCATCTGACATTTTTAAAAAAGTATAAAAAGAAGTAAGCATGTGAGACTCTTATATCATCCGTCTGCCTTTCGTGCCCGCCGATACTGCCTGTTATGCAGGCTTAACTCGCATATAAACAAACACGAGCGCGCACTGGATTGTGGTTGACACTCACTCTTTAATATCAGTAAATCGGAAATCACAGCTTCAGCCATGATTGTATCCAATTTCAAGCAACCCAGGATTGGTTTAAATTCCACACGAATATCCAATTAAGACAATTATATATTAATGTATAATAGTCCAACCCACAAGCCTGCCAGAACTGAACAGTGAAGTGGGATATTCAGTGGGAAGAAAATGATGTAGTGTCATTTTGGTGGTTGGAAACAAGTGACAACCATTTGTAAATGGATAATTTTGTTGCATAATTGATTAGCCCTGTTAAAGTTGATCTTGAACTTTTGATACAAGCAACTGTATTAATGGATACAGAGTGTCAAACAAACAAAGCAATATCAAATAACACCCCATGAAAATGGAAACAGTGACAAATAATAAGTTCAGCAGCGAAAGCAGTTAACAAGAATTCATCGTAGCTCAAATATGAAGAAGAACAAACATCACAATGTAGACAAGAGGACACCCATGGAGGTCATTCACAACCTTTTACCAGCCAGGATTGCCAACCTTGTGGAAGTACAAGTTGAACTGTACTCTCATCCCAACAAAGGCCAATGTTACAGCCAGGAGACAAAAGCTTTTGCTTTGCCCCCTATATCACATGAGTAGGCATGGCCCGATTGTGCTCGTAAAACTCCAAAAAGTTGCTCGCTAAAACTAGAAAGTTGCTCGCTAAAAAGCATAAAAGTTGCTCAAAAGTTGCCCGAAATAGAAAAAAGTTCCTACCAAAATTCAAAAAGTTGCCCGTATATATTACGTTAATCAAGAGATTTATACAATTTTTGCACGCTCGGATGAACTTCTTGTAATTAACAAGAGACACTTGTAGCAACATGTGTTTTACTTCTGCTTATACTTTCCTTTGTTGCTACTCTGCTTATACTTCCCTTTGTTGGTAGGAAGCTTTCGTTTATGTGCAATAGCTACACCTGCTGGTGTACAAAATGTTGCACCAGCATTTTCTGCTACCACAACTGGATCTTCTTCTACATTTTCGTCCTCTGATAAATTTGTCGAATCTGACAGCTCCTTCAAATTGGTCATAATAAAATTAGCTCTTATGTATATTTATAAGCCGCCATTTTGCTTTCAAGAGCACACAGGCAACCCTAATCCCCTAGCAAGCAAATAACAAGGGAAAACAAGGGAAAGCATAGCCTGCTCACAGGCTCTATGACGTTTGATATTTTTTCAATATGCCCCCTTTGAGATAAGCCAATCGTAGTAAGTAGCCAATCAAAGTAAGTTTTGTTAATTAGATTACCAGAGGTTATTAACAACAACAAACCGAGTTCTTGCACAATTTTACACCTGTATCTTTCACTAGGATTCCAAGGTCTAAACTTTAATCTAAAATAATGCATGGTCGTTTTTCCCCTAAAGTGTTATAATATTTAAAACATAGTCCCGTTTGTATATTGCTGTCTTGTTCATATGCATTGCCGTTTTAAATTATGTAACTATACTAAATATAACTGTAACTAAATATATAAAATTTTTTATTAGTTAATGTATTTTATACATTTATATCCAAAATATAACTGTGAGATTTAAGGAAGCGTATTAGGTTTTGAACAAACACTATTTATTAAAAGTGTTGAACAATAGGAGGCTAAAAAACAACATTAATCATTGTTGCGTGAAGTCTGTCATTTGCTCAATAATACAATTAACTCAATGTCTCAATAGACAATAGACAATTTGAAAACCCGTGGCTGCAGCATCGATTCTGCTGTGTTTAATAACTACATTTTTTTTTAAAAAAGCTCTTGTTGTAATAATATATGTCACTAGTTGAGACTCCCAAAAATAATATTTCAAGCTGTAAAGTTTTAATTTTAGTAAAAAGCCTAAAAGTTGCTCAGAAATTGCTCAAAAACGAAAAAGTTGCTTCAAGTTGCTCGAACTGAAAAAAGTTGCTCCAAACGAAAAAGTTGCTCAAAAGTTGCCGAGCAAAATCGGGCCATGCCCCTACATATGAGTGGAAAAGCATACCAATTCCTTTCAAAGTTTTTCCACCTATCATGTAAGTCAAGTCTTCTGTAATTTATGGGTATCAGGGCTGCCTACAAAAACAGGCATAGTGGATGAAGCTTTCAAAACTATCAAGACTAAAGTTAAGACCATGAATGATGCAAACAGAACGTGTACACTGTCCCTAGATGAAATATCCATAAAAACTCATCTGCATTATGATTCAGAAAAAGATGAAGTCATTGGCCTTGATGATGATGGAGACACTAAAAGCGATCTCATGGCAACCCCTGCACTGGTTTGTGGTATTCATGGTTTGTGGTATTTATGGCATGTGGTATTCAAGAAAATTGGAAGCAGTCCCTTGCATACTACCTGGTTAACGGCAGCTGTGACAGTGAGAAGGTCAAGAAAAAGCTCAATGCTATTGGTTTAAATGTTGTGGCAGTTATTTCCAACCTCTGTTCAAATTTCCAAAAGTTCATCAATGGGCTTGACATCGCCATAATCCAACCTTGGTTTTTGCATAATGGTAGAAGGATCTTATATTTGTGCAACCCACCCCATATCATTAAAGCCATTAGAAACAATATGATAAATTATGAGTTTCATTTTGATGGAAAGATTGCAAGCTGGAAAGATATTGAGGCCCTTTATGCAAATGATAGCAAGTTACCAATCCGTTTATATCCCAAATTAACAAAGAAGCACATGCATCCCAATGGATTTCAAAAGATGAAGGTGAAATATGCCACTCAAGTGTTAAGCCACACAGTATCTGCAGTAATTTCAACATATGTCAGACTTGGTAAACTTCCATCAGCTGCATGTGGTATGGCAGAGCTCTTGATGAAACTTGATCAAACTTTCGACTGCCTAAACAGCTCATCCCTACACAGCCCAAAAGTCTTCATAAGAGCAACAGCACCAACTTCACCACATGAGGAGAAATGTTTGACTTCATCCCCACAATTAATGTTATCAACAAAGAAAACAAGTATTGAACCAACATCCTGAAATGCCTCAATGCACTCAGAGTTGCTTTAAATGGCACAATACAACTTTGGAGTCAACTGCAGGTAGAATCATCTCTATTCTCCACCAAAGGCTCACTGTAGTTAACGAAACGAAATCTGTAGTTTGCCAAATCTGCAGTTTGCCAAATCTGTAATTTGCCAAATATCTATAGTTTTATAAGGTAAAATAAAAAAGTTCACATGTTCCGAGGGCGAGGCGTCATAAAGAAAAAATGTGTTGCACAGGATTTGTTTTCACAGCTTCCTCTCTTCACAGTTCCCATGTCCTGATTTTCCCAGCGAGACTTTTCCAGAGAATGAGAATTTACCATATCTTGAAGTTTGGAAACAGAGAACTATCATCATCGGTTTATTTTACGAAAATTTAACTACCTGATTATAACAGATTATCACAGCTCTAGGTTTCAGTAAATATTGAAAAAAAGAAAGTAAGATTAATGACTTTCAAATCATATTCTGACCATACTGAACCAATTTTTAATGATTTTAAAATATTAAACTTGTCCAAATTAAATTAATATTTAACAAGTTCATTTATGTTCCGATATTTTCATCTACATAATCTTCCAGAGATTTTTACCAATTATTTTATGACCAACAAAGATATCCATAATTATAACACAAGAAATGCATCTTTGCTTCACAAAAAATATAACAGAATAAATTATAATCAACACACACTCGCTAACGAAGGAATCGATATGTGCAATAATCTTCCTTTGCAATATAAGGAAATTAGATCTTTTCCAATATTCAAAATGACAATGAAAAATTCTTGACACTTAAAAAGAATTAAATTGTTGTAATATAACCTAATATCCTATCCTATCTTACAGTTTCCTTATTCCTATATAGGTAAAGTTATTATACTCAAATAAGTTTTATTGTATTGAGGGCAGTGGTGTCAAGTAACAAGTAAATGTACTTCGTTACTGTACTTGAGTACTATTTTTGAGAAGTGAGCATGTAACAAAGTAAACTTTTTCTGGAGTACTTTTACTTGGAACGAAGTCATTTTAAGAAGTAACGTTTTACTTCGTTATTTTCATTTTGTGGCGAAGTATTACATTACTTTCTAACTTTTGTTTAATTTTACGTGATTTATTTCTGGTTTATTTTAATTTCGGGAAAGGTAATACGACCTCTACATGCATCAGGGATCTCTTGTTTATGACTTACTTATAAGAATAATTTATTTAATGGATTTCTTACATCTTCAACAGAGTCTGGAAAGCAGACCATGCTGTAAAATATTGTATATTCGGTGCACGCATATAATGCATGTGTTGTTTTGTGTCTTTTGCATGTTAATCCATTGGAGAAGTCCCCCTCTACAGACTGCAGACAATAGTACTTTTACTTTTACTTTGTACTTCAAGTATTTTTTAAGAATACTCTGTACTTTTTACTTAAGTATGTTTTCCTTCCGGTACTTTTTACTCTTACTCAAGTCGTTTAATTGTTAATTACTTCTACTTTTACTCGAGTACAAATTCAAAGTAATTTAGGCACCACTGATTGAGGGAAGGCTAATTTAGATTTTGATATACAGCCCTAAAATGGTCATGTAATATTACATGAGATACAAATGTTTGAATTTGGCACACGCTTTAAAATGAGTAAAAAGATCGAGAAACACAGCTGATCAAATTTATATGAACACAATTGCCATTTTCCACAAATTTTAGCATTGAAACTCAACTTTCATTTCGGGTAATGTCCTAGTATAAGTTTATAGTTGCCTTTCGTGTCTCTTGGGAAGCGAAATAAGCATGAAACATTAAAAAACGTTTGAAAGACAAAAGCATATTTGACATCCTTTGGGAGTTCTTATTATAAAGTTGGTCTTAGTTTGCCTTTCGAATATACCTCAGTCGATCACAAAAGATCAAAGAGTTTGGGTTTTATGGTTTCCTGTGCACAACCGTGCACGAAGAGGACATACTTTCTATGATGAATGAATAAATGTTTATCCAAAAATTATTTTCATTCGTTCTTTTGGCGACAATAAACGTATATATCAAGTTTAACTTCCAAATAATATTTAACAGGCAATTTTATGCAAATTTTTAACATTGTCAAGTTATTCGATTTAAAACATTGATAACTCAGTAAATGTTGCACAGACATTCACATGTCATATATCAAAATCTAAGTTAGCCCTTTCTGAATACAATAAAACTTATTTAAGTGCAATAGCTTTTACATTACATTAAATCAAACAGCGCACGTTTTTTTGGGGACACCCGGTGTCACAGGAGATTTGCCCCCTAGGAGATTCGCCCCCCTCTCAAAAGGGGGGCGATGTTCCTAGGATATTCGAACCCCCCCAGCAAATCTCCTAGGAATATTGCCCCCCAGTGGGGCGATTCTCCTAGGAATATCGTCCCCCTTTAGGAATTTCGCCCGCCCCCCCCATATAAATTTTGAATTTTCTATCTAAAAACAACGATTGCAAGTTGAAAAGATTTATCGTGCGATTTATTTATTTATTACAAAGAGACAAAATTACATACACATTTTAGGCTTCTTAGCAGCTGGTGGTGTGCACAGTCGGCATAACTGCTCATTTGAGGTACTTAGACTACATTTAAAGTGGAACCATTGCCCACAGAGATTGCATAAAATCATGTTGTCATATTCTTCTGGCAGTTTACATTCACATAACATATTATAAAAACAATCGCTTGCAAATTTTATCAATACCAGTGTTAACAATAGCCGCCACAGTAATCACTTGCTAACAATAAATTATAGGATTAATAAAAAATCTATGGAATGTATTGGGAAGCGTATTGACTATTGTCCATTGAATCGTCAACTTTCCATGTCAGTGTCAGTGATGTAATCGTGATTCTTGACTTCTGCAATGAAAATTGCATTATATATATATATGTGGTGTGGTTTATTCAAATAATTTCATGATACTTTGATTTTATTAGTGCCTTAAACATTTGAGAATGTAACTCTGCAAAACTAAAAGCTTTTTTGTCTTTTTTGAAACATATATTATTGGAGTATTGCCTATTGGCAAGTTCTACCCTTCGCTTCTGAGATTTACAAACTATATTGAAATAATGCAAGTAAAAATAGTGACAACTTATAAGCCATACATTTTCCGATAACGACAAAATGTGGATGCAAAACAATACTAATAATTACAATAACCACCACAGTAATTACTTTTTAACAATGAGTTTAATTAAGGATTAACACTGAAAATTCAAAATATGTGTACCAGGAATTTTACCCACACCTAACCCACTTCTCCCAAGACCATTTCCCCCTAGACATTTCCACCCATTCCATCAACACACAGAGAAACCTTTACGAAAAGAAGAAAAATTAGATTTGGTATAAAAAATTTTTTTCATTAGATTTAGTATAAAATTATTTCCAATTACTCCTAATCGCAATAATCTCTGACTAGCTTTAGCCTATCTGCAAAATAATGCAAACAAATATTTCAGTCAGCATCAATGGCCTTTCCAACAAGGTCCTTGCTTGGTGACAAAACTAAAAATAATGATTTTCTGAAAAATATTTCTAGATGTGATTTTATATATCTTCAGAAACTTGGGCGAACGAAACCATTAGTATTCCTGGTTTCAAGGCAACATCTTTGTATACATCCCCCCCCCCAAAAAAAAAATAAACCGAAGAGGTTGACTTCTCTGGTGGCATTACTTCACTGTTTAACTTGAAATTTCAAAGTTATGTATCTGTTATAAAAAACCAAAAAAATTCCCTTTGGTGTAAAATTTCAAAAAATATGTTAAATTTTGAAAATGATTTTTTCCTATGTGGTATTTACATACCCCCTCAAAATTCAAAACATTTCAGATAACCATGCAGACGAGATAACCTCATTCTCTGCAAAAAGAGATGTGTTACTTATTGGTGATGTTAATGCTAGGACTAGTAAACTTGATGACTTAATCTCTAACGAAGGAAACCAACATTTACCAGACCACACACAAGACAACACTAACGAAAAAACTAGAGAAAATTTTGACAGCATTACCAATAACCATGGTAAAGATCTAATACAAATCTGTAAAAGCTGTGACTTACAAATTCTAAATGACCGAACAAAAGGAGACTTGCTTGGAAAACCTACCTTCCATGGGATATGAGGGGTATAAGTGTAATTGATTATGCTATTTGCAATACTATAGTCTCATGAAAAGCATTAACTCCTTCATTGTGAAACCCCCAAGCTATCTTTCCAACCATAGCCAAGTTACCACATGGATTAATACTAAGAAAACTATTGATACATTCCATTCCAATAATACATGCAACCCTAACTTTTCCCATAAACTCCCAAACCAATTCATTTGGGACAATAACTCTTTTAGAACCTATACAGATTGCCTTAGATCACCAAACATCCAACAGAAAATTCAAAATTTTCTGATTAATGAATATTCATCCAATAGTGATGGAGTCAATAATTTTTTAAATGATTTTGAAGACATTATCTAGCTAGAAGCAGGAATGAAAGGTCTTAAGATTAAGAAAGTATAACCCGGCATACGAAGATTAGAAATACTACCAAACTGTAGATGATGACATAACGAACACAACACCCAACAATATACCTGAATCACAATGGTATTCACATTTTCAAACCTTACATTCAAAACACAATCTTAATACGGAACAGCAAGAAATACTAAAAGAACTACATAGACATAAGAAAATTTGAGCCAGCATGATAAATTAGATCTACCAATATCAGGAACAGAAATTAGAAATGCTACCAAAAAATTAAAAAGAAACAAATTCACATACTCTGATAGGATAAAAAATGAGATGCTTAAATACAGTATAAATTTTATGCTCCAGGCCTACGTTAAACTTTTCAACCTGATCCTAAAAGCAGGAATCTTTCCAGCACAATGGTGTGAGGGATTGATTACACCTATCTTTAAATCTGATGACAGGTCCGATTGTA